GAATATTCTGTCATTATTTAATGTCTGCTCTCCATGCAAAGTTCTAAGCTCCCCGATAGCAGAGGCACTGTCCAGCATGATTCCTGCTGTATCCTCCGTGCTTAGCAGAGCCCCGGAACATGGTAAGTACCCAATAAATCCTTGTTGAACGAACGTTCACATACATGAACTCATTTCTATATATTTTCTCAATATGCCTGGGAAAGTGATGTCATTGCCCCCATTTAGCAGTTGGAAAACTCAAGGCAGGATCAAGAGTTTTCCCAAGGTCACTGACAGAGTTGGATTTTATTCCAGTTCTTCTGCTTCAAGCCTCATGCTGTTATCTGTTGACTGCAGAGGGATCCTCCGAATTGCATTAAAGAGCTAAAATATAGAGAAGGCCTTTGTTTTATTCATCATGGTCCCTCTCATTTGTGGTTTGCAGATAGGGACGCTTAGCAACATCAGAGGTGAGGACAGTCTGCTCAGCAGGTGTGTTAATGCAGAACTTGATTATGAGTGACCAGAGATTGGGAAGTGGGGGCTTTCTCACTAAGTCAGCGGTTGGGGGGAGGAGGGGGGGATTCGGAAGAAAGGCAAGAAGGCACTTCTCCAGCATCCTGCAAAGATCTCTGGGAATGGTGATCAAAGAGATAGAAGAATGGAGTGCTTTTACACTTAATTTGTATTCATTGGGGGCATTCTAAGCACCAAGCATGACACTTAGACACATTCCCTGTATTCGTTTTTGTAAATTGTCATTATTATTTTATTGAGTAGTTCTTAATATTATCCCCACTTTTAACGAGATCAGGCAAAGTAAGCTCAAAATGTTGACTTGCTCAAGTTCACAGAGCCCGGAAGGGGTGGGACAAAATAATCTCAAAATACATACTTGTGTGGAAAAATCAATGGATGAAAAAAAGTTAGGAAGACAAGAAAAAAAAGATTTTGGAAAGAGTATTGAGATGTTGACAAAAGTTCAGGAGAAGGGGTTCCTTTAAAAGGATAGTGGCTCTGAAGAGGTGATTGTGCCTTAAAGTTGTGACTTACGGTTTGGATGGCTGTCGATTTGAATTCACATCCTATTCTACCTAAATCGTAAAGACAAATACGATTCTCTGCTTTTCTACTTATTACAGCCATGCTGTTTCACTGCTAGTCAGCTCCATGTTAGTGATTTGTCTATATCTAGTAAAGGATTGACTTATCCTCATGCTTAAAAATAAGCATAATGCATTTTTTCATAATGTACTTTTTATCGGTTATCAGGTGGACTACAATGTAAAAATCTGAAAACAGGAGTGAATGCTACAGATAGAATCTGAGTTCCTTCATTTTCGGCTGCTTTGTGTTAATGTTTCAGAGAGACTGTGCTCTGATTTTAATCTTAGAAACACATCTTCAAAAGGACATAACGGCCTCGTAATTTTACTTGCCAGCACAAAAGCCGTTCAAGGAAATTCAAGAAAATGTAAGCATGACATGGGCATCCTCAGTGAGGCCTTTCATTTCCATTTTCCCTATAACTCTCAAGGTATGCCAGATACAGCATTTGGGGAAGGGGCCCTGCCGAGGCTCCCCCACCATAATGAGGCAATAATGAGATAAATTAGGTGTAAATCAGGGGGGTCTTTTCCTTCTATCGATTTGTCAAAACACCTTATCATGGAAAAGCACAAATGAAAACAACTCTTTTCTCTCTGTGACGGAGACAGCATGCTCTGGGGTGGCTGTTTGCCTGCAGAGCCTCAGAGATGCTTGACTGTAAAGCCCACTTGGCAATTCTCCTGGAGTTCTGTGAGCCGGACGGCCCTGCACACTCTCTTTCTCTCATGTTTTCCTCTGTGTCCTGTGCGAGGGTCTCTTCCAGTTAAGGATTTAAAGCCAGCTCTATGTACACAAAAATCAGATTTATATCTTTGTACCACAAAATGAAGCAATTATTTTGTCTCGTAATAGATTCGCCTGCCTCTGCCCCGGCCCCCGTGCTACCCACTGTTGTCAGCAAGGCGGGGACACTGGTGAGGGCTTCATTAAGGAGAGCCCCGCTGATACTGACCATTGATCCCGCAGCCAGCTCAGGTGCGTCGGCCACAACATTTCCTCCCCGTGCTCTTTACTTCTCTCCAGGGACAACCAATCAGAAGAAACGACCCTCATGCCTAGTGTTTTGAGAAGCAGAGAGCAGTTTGATTTCAATTGCTGACCTGTCCACTAGCTTGGTAAATCACATTTCAATCTCCTAAGGGCAAAAAGAACGTATAGCCTGCTTATGTATGTGTGTGTGTGTGTGTGTGTGTGTGTGTGAGCATTGCACTCTAAGATCCAGCCTTTCCATAGGTTAAACCACAGGACTTCACCTGGTAAGTTAAAAATGAGGAATTCAAAAGTATTCATGCTTTAGAAGTGAAATCCAATATTCTTAAACATACCATTATACCCTGAAATCTAGGGTTACACATCTAAGGCCAGCTAAGCAAAATGAGCAAACTTAAATTCTGTCCTCTTTTGTGTGTATTTGGTGGCAAATTGTGGAGAACGTGACTTTTAACTTACAGCTCTGCGAAGTCATCCATCTAGGGTGCTGATCTCTTTCAATAAAATTTCAGATAAATGCCATTTTTCCCAATTTTATGCTAACTGTGAGACTCCAGAATGATAATACATCTAGATGCTGGTCTTATTGCAATACGTCTAGGATGCCGAGGTGTGAAAATGGTAGCCCTGCACCGTCTGACCACAGCTTTATACCCTTCATCCTTTCCCTTAAATATATCATCTGCTCAAATAAGCCCAGATGTTTTCTTCCCAGTGTTTCTCACGCAGAGCACAGTTTAACTACAGAAATTTGTCAGCTCCCCTTTTGCTGGTTGACTCTCTGGTATGTGTCCTTAGAGACTTGAACCAGTTCTAAATTTTATATGATGATATTTTTCATTTTCAGGTTATGTTATTCCACTTCCAAAAAATCTAGAGAGTCTTTAATAATATTCCCCTTAAAACAAACACCAAGCACAAGTCACTGTTCAAACCCCTTGTCTTTATGTGTTGCAAATAAACCCGAAACACTTTCTGGTTGTAGAAGGAATAGAAATGATATATAATTCAGTGCCTCGTTTAGGAATCTCTTTTCATCTCCCCCACCGCCTCCCACTGTTCCCTCCCCGGGCACTAAGCATTTTGTAAATAAACTTATAAAAATAAAAACTGAATTTTGTGTGTCTTTAACATTTTATGTGGTATCCCACATCTTGTATCTCAGGTAATTTAACCTGTTTCGTGACAAGGGAATAAGTTTTGTCATCTTTCTAAATCTCTCTGCACCTGTTTGGTGATTTTTATAATCCTCATTCTTGATGATGTATATAAAATTTATGTAATCTTTGGGTTTCTATCAAGATTTTTGCCATTTTTGAATTCATTATATATGGATGTCCTTTGAACTAGAAGGGTGTCTATAAAATGATTGGGGAGAGTGGCTAGGAGAATATTATAATTTTTCTAGAAATTACCAGTATTTTTCAAGTTTTATTTCAATTCTGGTTATGAAGATGAAAGAGTCTGATCATTGCAACGAAAGCGCTGTCTGTGCTTTATTAATGGTCAATATGTTGCAAAGTTAACCCTGAGAAAGTTCCCCATGTCCTGCTAATGACGTGTCTTCTTCACCAAGTTCATATTGGAAGTACAACCATGAATTACAAGGTGCTTCATGCCTCCAAAGATATTTTTCTGCTATTTTAGGATACATTAGTTACTAGTCGTCGCTTAGGCTGGTGATTCTCAGCCGAAAAGATTTTGCCCCCCAGAGGACACCGGCAACGTCTAGAGACATTTTTGATTGTTAAAACTAGGAGTGGGGTGAGTGAGGAGACGATACTAGTGGCGTCGAGTGGGTAAAGGCCAGAGATGATGCTAAATATTACCATGCACGGGACAGCCCTCAGCAGTAAAGAATTATCCAGCTCCAGATGTCAATAATGTCAAGGTCGAGAAATCCTCATGCGTACCAGAAAGGCACCATGGAATAATGAAAATGAGGAACTGAGCTGACTTCCTACATGAAGAGAGTGTCTATAGAAATTATCAGAGTGAGAGCCGTTAGTTATAGCATAGTTGTTCTCGAAAAACAATGTCTTTGATTTTATTAGGGTCAGATAGAAGGCTCATTCTCTAAGTCCACCATCTATAAGGACCCTTGTCTCCTTCCTAACTTATCTTCACGTAAATTAGGATGCATTTCTACAAGGAGACATGGTATAGTTGAGAAGGATAATCTTCAGCAAAAAGTTAAATGAAAAATAATCAGTTATTTCAATTTTTTAGTCTTCCCAGCTAAGCCAATCAGATAAGCAGTAGTAGCTTTGTGCATTTATAGCTTACCTTGCATTCTTGTGAGATATTAGTAATGACCAAAAAGAAGGTATTTTATTTCTCAGGAAATGGCATCCAATTTAATATTTTGTATTAAACCCAAATACGAAATATAATTTTGAGGTCAAATAATGAAAGGATATGCTTCAGTTCTTAAGATGGTTATGACCTAAAATCAACTAGTCAATGTATTATAAGTATATGCATTTATATTTCTGTTAATGGTTTGTGAATAACCAATTTTACTAAACAAGACAAAAATTGGCAGCCGTTTATATTTAATTCCACATGCCACTTGTTTTTATTACCTCTGCTAAGTTAATTATTGGGTATTCATCCCACTCATCCTCTCTGGCAGTTTTCACTAAATAATGTTGAAGAATTGTTTGCCCTTTGGAAAATTAGTTTCGGGGCTGGCCTGGTGGCTTAGCAGTTAAGTTCTGCACTCTCCGCTTTGGTGGCCCAGGGTTTGTTCATTTGGATCCCAAGCACAGACCTACACATTGCTTATCAAGCTCCGCTGTGGCAGGTGTCCCACATATAAAATAGAGGGAGATGGGCACAGATGTTAGCTCAGGGCCATTCTTCCTCAGCAAAAAGAGGAGGATTGGCGGTGGATGTTAGCTCAGGGCCATTCTTCCTCAGCAAAAAGAGGAGGATTGGCGGTGGATGTTAGCTCAGGGCTAATCTTCCTCAAAAAGAAAAAAAATTAGATTCGTGAGTACTACTTTATCTCAGTAGTAAAAGATTCTGAAGTTACTTACACAAATATATTTTTGCCAAGAGCATAGGAAAGTTAATTCAACAATTGTCTATTCTTACGATTCTTACGAGTATGGTTTGCAGTCTTAATGTAGTAGAGGGTAAGTGTCCTCACAAGACAGTCTCTCTATCGTATCTTGGAAGTATACTTATACTACAGATTTCAGCTGGCTTAGAACCCTGCAAACAGTCCACCGTCAGCCTCTTTAGGGCAGGAACTGGGTCTGCTTTGCATGCTATTGTAGCCTCAGTATTTCGCTCGGTGCTGGCCCAAGATGGAGCTCTGTAGATATTTGCCTTCATTTATTGTTGATGCTCTAACACATGACCTCAAACTTGGTGGCTTAAATAATACAACTGTATTATCTTAGAGTCCTGTAGGTCGGCAGTCCCACAGGAGTCTTATTGGTCTAAAATCAAGGTCTCAGCAGGGCTGTGTCGCTTCTGGTGGCTTTAGAATCTGACCACTTGCCTTTCCTGATTGTAGTGGCTGCTGCGTCCCTTGGTTTGTGGCCCCTTCTTCCATCTTTAAAGCCAGCAATAGCAGGTAGAGTCCTTCTTATGTTGCTGTCTCTCTGTGACCGGGAAGGTTCTGTGCTTTTAAGGATTCATGTGATCAGATCAGGTCCACCTGGATTATCCAAGAAAGTCTGCCCAGCTCGAGGTCCTTGATCTTCATCATATCTGCAAAGACTCTTTGCCAAGTAAAATATTCACGTTCCAAGGGTTAGGGCAGGGACATCTTTGGGAACCTACCACAATCTTTATCAACTCCCTAAGAACCCCTTGCCTTGGTGAGTCTGGCTCCCTCTTCCTCTGTGTACATCTGACGCTGTTCATTATCACTCGTCTACCATTAGGGGTCATTGTCACTAATGATGGGGGAGAATCTTCCAAGTGCCAGAGTTCAAGGTGGCCTGTGGCAACAAAACGAGAGAGAAGTGGAGGAAGGAGAGAACGCCCCGTCTCCCCATCTCGAGCCACACTTGGTGAGAGGCATACCAAAGTTGTGTTGCTGGTACCCGCTGTATAGGGCTCTAGTGAATGGTGTTGTCAATATTTATTTACGGCCCTGTAGACCCTGGCATCAGTCTGTGGGACTGGATCAGGATCAGAAGCAAGTTAGAAACATGAAAAGTACTGTCAAGCTTAATAAATGGATTCGCTGATTGTGTTTGATTCACCCTGTCCTGAAAATATGATTCTTTTCTTTATTTCCTAGACAAATAGATTTTTGGTGGTGTTTGGACGTCTGTATCCCAGCCCTAGACTCCCAAGTGAACCCGCTCACCTTGGGGCATTTGGTTGCAGATAACAAGTGACAAATTTTGTTATTTGGTACCAGAAGCAAGTATAATGGCGAAAGCAAGGAATGACAGTTTATTCGTCCTTTCAAAAATATTTATTGGGTGTATGTTGAGTTCTAAGTTCTATTTTAGGTACTGAGGATATAAAAATGAGAAGAAACAAAAAGACAGTTTGACAAACAGCCTGACTTATTGAAAAGAAATAAAATCTACAAAAAGCCAATAGCAGAATTCCAAGACCATAGCCATCAGACAAGGACGGTAAGCCAGCAGCTAAGGACATCTTCTGAATCTCTTACAGCATCGAGAAATGGAATTGTCATTGAGAAAAAGTTAATCATTTTTCTATGTACCGTTTCTCAGTCATATAAAAGCAAATATTATTGATCATGGATTATATGTCAGGAATGGTTCTAGGCACATTGATTCCTCACAACAAACCTACAAGGTAGTTGTTATTATTATTTTTTTCATTTTACAGATGAGGAGATTGAGAAAAGTTGACAGAAAGGTGAAGTGTCATGCCCAAAAGTCGCAGATGGGAAGTGAAGAGCCAGGATTTGAACCCAAAGCTTCTGGGACTAGAGTCTGCACCCCTACCCACCACGAAACACTCTAAGGAAGTGTGTAATATGTTTCAGAAAGTGTCTCATAAAATGGTTAGACTAAAAAGAAACGTCCTTACTTCGTGATAATTCATCGAGCTATAGACACGCGGGATGAGTGTACTTTGCTGTATAAGGCATGCTTCAGTTTTTAAAAAGATGAATATGATGGTACCTAAAAGGGTAAGTCTAAATTACCTGTAAATTTTATGGAAAACACATATTTTCCCAGTGGTGCCATTGGACTGTATTTATTCACAAGCAGATGGATGGGGTGGAATAAGGGAAAGTACGGAGAGAGGCAGCAGTGTCTGCGAGGAAGAGGCAGGAGCTCCAGTGGCCAAGAAGACCCTGTATTTGTCAGGCTTTTTAATTTTCTGTATTTCTGATGCTTTGCCATTAGGGGCTTTGCTGAGCCTGGAGAGACCGCCTCTCCCGGGGCTAGTTAATTCCTGGAGACAGCAAATGTCTCACCTGCTTCCGTGCCTTTCATATGCAAACTAAGCAATCCAGAGCCCACAGCCCCCAAACATCTTCTTCATCCCTTACACTCTGGGGTCGCCATTCTCTGCTCTAATCACCCCCTGGCCAGGGACCAGACGACTATGGGCAACCCCTACACCCCAGAGCCCACTGAGATTATTCTAACTAGCCTATCTTAAATCTGCTTAGCTGTTTATCCTGCCTCCTCCAACCTTTCCCCAAGAAACCCACAATAACAGTTCTTGCTCTTGATTTCCTCCTGTGCACCCCAGTGCTTCCCTGCGTGGCGTGGAGTGCCCCTCCTCTTGGGCTCCATGAGTAACCAACTCTGCTGGCCTCACCATAAGTGAAAAATAACACATTTTAAAACAGACCCTCTGCTCAATAGTTCCACCACATGTTTTTCTAATTCGTGACACACTTGAGTAAGTAAGTTTCAATTCAACATTTTGATGGGGTGGTAGTTGTTTGCAAAAAACTCTGGAGGTCTGCGTACAGCGCAGGATTTTGGGTCATCAGCGGGCCACGTGCGGACAAAACTGATGTAGAGGAAAGGTCATTAGCTTTGAGAGAGACCCACGAGGAGTTGTTTTTTGGCTTCGCTAATGAATCCCTCTCTCATCAACGTCGGTATGGAGCAGAGTTGTCTAAAGAGGATTCTGGAACCTTTCAGGGTTGCCTGGAAAAAGAACTGAGACTAGGCACCCCCACCTCGTCCCAGCAAGAAGGGGAGTCCCCAAGATCAAGCCCCCATGGTTTCAGGGCTTCTTCCTTCTGCTGGATGTGCAGCATCCCATGAGCCCCAAGTTCTTTTTTTTTTTTTTTTGAAGATTAGCCCTCAGCTAACACCTGTTGCCCATCTTCCTCTTTTTTTCTTTTTCTCCTGAAAACCCCCCAGTACATAGTTGTATATCCTAGTTGTAGGTTCTTCTAGTTCTGCTATGTGGGACGCTGCCTCAGTATGACTTGATGAGCCATGCTAGGTCTGTGCCCAGGATCAGAACTGGCAAACCACAGGTCACTGAAGTGGAGTGTGCAAACTTAACCACTTGGCCACAAGGCTGGCCCCCCCCAAGTTCTTGAGTTGCTGGGCAACTGGGATTCTCAGATTACCCTGTAAGCAGTTGATTCCCACATCTAGACTGCCCGACACCACTGACACCACTCAGGCTGGCCTTAGGAAAGGCAGTGCAAGGGGGCAATGCCCCTTCACCAGAAGGGAGACCCACACTTAAGTGGCACAGAAAGATGAGAGACTTGTGCCTTCTCTTCTCTTGCTGACCCTAGTTTTCCAAGTTTTCTGTTTTCTCCATAAATCTTATTCCTTCCTCATACAGTTGTGGAGTTTGTCCTAAACTCTAGAGGACAACATTTGGTGACTCAGAAGGGACCCACCTTCCATGAAAGTAAATTAGCCAACCTATTCTCTGTGTTTCCACTGGAGGGTTACTCAATCTCTCTGAGGCTCAGTTTCCCATCTGTAACCATAATAAAGTGCCGTTTCCCTTGAAATGTGTCACGGGTTTAGAGACACTGTGTGTAAAGTGCCTGGCAGAGAGTTTTGCACAGAGGAAGTTCTCAATAAAAGGAAGCCATGATGGCGTGGAGGAGGTGAGGAAGGCGGAGAGGGGAGGGCACTTGAAAACCTTGGTCAGGCTTGAATCACACTGGGAATTTGTAGTGTTTACATTTCCACTGTGGGTCCTGGGATCCAAGGGAAAGCGGACAGAGAAAAGGGCAAAGGGCAAAGGTCTGAGGGAGCTGGGGACTGTTATGACGTGGTGAAAACTTCTTTCCCTGAGTGTGAAGACCGCAAGTTTGGACACACTGTTTCAGAACATACTTTCCATGTTCTGTGATAATTGTGACTAACATTCATGTTATCTACAGTCCACAAACTTGCACAATTCATCGTCCCATTTGACTCTTCTCCTAGTCCGGTGAGGTAGCTATCATTTTGAGGGAAAATGCGGAAAAAAGCAGACTGAGAGGAAGTTGACTTTTTTCGAGGCTACTCTGAAGTGAATAATAGAACTAAGCTTTGAACTCTGGTCCTTAGCCTTTACCTATGGCTAATGGACTCTCTATCGTCTCTCAACTAGTTAACAGAGACCCACCGAGTTAGAACAAGTCACTTTTACATTAACCCACAAGTTAGAGCCCTCCACCTGGGCAGCTAGGTCAAAGGAGCATGGTATTTTCTGCTCATAAAAAAATTGAGGTCCAAGTGAACACACAGTGGCCCAGCTCCTCCGGGAGGCTCCATCAGTCCTGGGTTGCGCTTAGTGCCCCGGGCTGCTCTTCTTTCTCCCCCGGTCTGGGTAGCCATTCGTCTACAGCTGTCAGTCTTCGCCATGAAAATACTGACATAGAACTAGTGAAACAGCTCTAATTTTACCAAGTAGTACAAGATTATAATGAATAAATTTTATATTTTTCAGAGCGACTGAGCTTCAAATTTAAGTAAACACTTCATTATACCTCTTCTTCCCTCTTTAGAATATGCAGCTGGGAAGGAAGGAAACTTGTGTGCAATACAGGCCACTGAGCATGCCGACGTTGTTCAGTGCAGGGGTTCACATGGAGAGGGATGTGGTGGAAGGACTGAGAGTAGTAGGGATGCACAGAGACAAATGGAAAATGTTTGTGACTTTGTCACAGCCCAGCATGCACTGACACAAAACAGGCATCAAGTCCGTGTTATTTTAACAAACATGTGCTTGTAAGGGCTAAACTATATAATGGGCCAAAAAACTTCTATATAAACCCTCTCCCCCCAAATAATTGGCAAGACTAATTTAGGACCATTTTTTTTTTCATATTTTCTCAGAAATGGCAGCGAAAATCCAATAATTATACGATGCAAACAAACCCCTTAAAATATTGGGAAATCGATGTCTTCTTTCCTTGTTCCTCTTCTGTTCTCCTAATCAAATTCCCAATCAGGGAGTCATTGGCGATTTAACCAGTTCACACTTGTGTGGTCATGGCCGTGGCTCTCCTCCACACATACTTGAGCATCCCACAGTCTCTGCCATGGAGTTAAAAATGGTCCACACTGCAGGATGTAGTAAGAATTAGGACAATCAGCGATGTGTTCTACACGCTTAGGGATGTGCTTGATTTATAAATGATTGACGGCTATTCCTTGCATCTTCAGGCTGTGATCCAGTTTAATTCCAGGGTTGTTTTTTCTTTCCAAATCTTCATATCCCCATTTTATACTGGTATAATTTCATTGCACAAACTATTATGTACCAGTTTCATTGTATCTTTATATAATTGCTCCGATTCATCCCTAAGAGCTTTATTACATGTGTTTCCGACTCCTACTCTAACATACTTCGGTCACAGAATTATTTTCTCCTTCAACTAGCTCACTGTCTCCTCGGATTTGCTCCCTTCTGCAGACGGAGCGAGCAAGCTCTCTTCTCCATCCTTTGTCCTGAAGCATTGATGGGCTTGTAATCCCCAGTAGCCCTGGTAAGGAGCCACACAGAACACCAGTATGTCGCTTGATTATGTTAAACTATTTCTACCCACAGTATTTAGACGTAGCTTTCCAGCCAAGAGCAAGAGCAGCTGCAATGTCCTGGAAGCAGCTGTGTGTTCTAGAACAATTTTCCTTCAGTTTTAAAAGGAAAAATACTAATAACCAAAGCTTTGCTAAATCCTCCTGCATTGCAGGATGAAAGGAAAGGAGAATGACTATACATTTAGCTGCCGACACTGAATATAGGAGCAGATGTTTTTGAAGGAAGTGCCAGGTCTCTGCACCCAAGAAGACATCTCCCTCTTCACTTTTTATTTACTGGTGCAGAGCAATGGTCCCTCTCTCCTCCGTAATTCACAAAAAAATTGACTTGAGGTTAAACTCAATTATACTATTTATTTTCAAAGAAAGAGTTGTTCAGAGGACCAGAGTTTACGTCTTTTTAATTAAAAGGGGAAGTGAGACTTGGACTCGAAGCACAATTCTACAGAGAAATAGGTCAGTTTTATAAGCAGTAGCCATTTGCTTTGGTGGTTGGCTTTATTCTGAAGCTTCTGAGAGCCACATGCTGGCAGAATATTCAGCAACAGTCAAAAGTGATTGTTGAGTTGGTCGAATAACCTGACAACATATCAAAATAAAAATTACTGCTAGAAATGCCCTCTTCCCACATCCAAAAGAGAGCCCAAGATTTGCTGGCAAACCAGTGTGGTGGCTGAGATGTTCACGTGCTGCTCCCCCAGGTGAGGAGCCATCTCTCTGAGTCTGGCCCGCACCTGCATCCCAGGCAGGCGATGTTAGAGCCCGTCATGACATCCCCCTCACCGCGCTGTGTTGCTAAATCATCCTGTACTCAGCCACAGGGAATAGGGGAGAAATAACAAAGCTCCTGAAGAAAGAAATGCTTTTCTACCCATCTGCCCTCCCTCAGCTGTTAGAGCCAGCATGGAGGGGAGGTTTTGAAGCGACTGTATACCAAATTGCAATAAACAAACAGAAGAAACTTTATTGATTTCCTTATTCTTTGAAGAGTTAAGAAGCAGTATAGGAAATGGTGAAACAGCAATATCATAGAGCTCAATGAGGCTGCTCTTTGAGCAGGACCAAACAGACGGGGGAATTTACAGATTGCCTGCTGCCCAGAGACCACTGGGCTTTGTGTGTGTATTTCTGAATGCAGAAAAGTTGAGCCAACAGGCATTCATCCTTTGCCTTGCTGGGTGGGAGGCTGGAATGGACCTTATTTCTTCTTTGATTCCTTCACCCATTTATGTCTGTGGTACAATGCTGGTGACTGGCATTCTGAAGAACAGCCCGGGGGCCAGTCAACCTCCCCTTATTGCAAATCACATTTTTTAGCATCTGTGTCTCCAAAGACTCATTTCATTTAGAGATGAGATCAAATGGTTTGCCAGATACTCCCCTACAGTTTACATTCTTTTCTAAAGTGTGGAGAATTTTGCTATGATGAGGCTCACTGATGTAAATTCTTTAAATTCACAAATGCAATCTGATTGCTTGGGACATCATCGTTCGGTGACAGGATCTGAAGCAGAGTCTACTCTAGGGGGCCAAATCATATGTTTTATTAAATTGTTAGTAAAAGTGGCTGGCCTCTAGAATTGCAGGATCATAAATCGCACTTTACAGGAGTCTCAGTTATTGTCTTCAGATCTACTCCAAAAGTCCTATGGAGTTGAAATGCAATATTTCATTTCTGACACTTAATCTATGAGGGTGTCCTTGGAGATCTGTTATGCCTTTAAAATAATTTACGTGTGTTCTCTAACGATTGCGCTATACTGAATGTGCTATCAAAATGCTTTGGGTTTTATAAATAGATTCAATGGGAAAGTTAGAGTAAAACTTCTATGGTTGGGATTTACTGTCGAACTAGAGTTAATCAGGAAAAGTAAGCAGTTAATTCAGATGGTTATAAGACTCTCAAAGTGTTACTGATATAGGAATGCGACCCTTTTTTATAATCAGCTAAACTTTTCTAATAGGATGTAATGGGAAGAGCATAGGTTCTGTAATCAGACAAGCTTGGCATTTCTTTCTTTCTCTGCCACCTAGAACTGTTTGGCTTGGGTAAACTCTTTGAGTTGGTTGGGAGGGCAAAATAAACCCCCTCACACAGTACTTGTTATATTTTCGGTAAAGTTAGAAACTCGTTTGCTTTCAAGATATGTCATGCAGAATACGGTCAACTTACCCCTCCCCCTGATTTCTTACTGTGTAGTATTTTGGGGACTGTGTCCAGATGAATTTCCTACACTGGTCTCCAAACTCCATCTCGGGGACAGTCTCTGAGCAGTTTTTCCATCCACAGAAGATGACTTATGTTCTGTGGTATTTAGGTAGTAGAAAGAGCATAGAAACAGAGCAGGTTTTGGCAACTGCTAAAATGACCATATCCTTCACTTCTAGGAGGTGACAGCTATAGTCATCCTCAAAGTACAAAACTAACCACTCAGATGAGATTTCAAAATACTCACGTGGAACCTCAGCACCTCTTAGCAGAGCCAGCTGGTGTTTACAAGTCATGCAGTCTCCACTTGGCCCCTCTATGCTTAGGTTTTGAGCATGAGACACTGAGGGTGTGTTTAGTAAGTAAAGGGTAGTGATGAGGTGTGACGTAGAACCAAGGACTGAAGAGACCTGGAGAAAACCAATAAACGAAGATGAGTTGACATGAAAGAAACTTGTCAACATTTCCAATTGTAAATTCATTAGTCAGACTCCCAAACCCAGTGATTTAATGATAACATGTCTTGTCATCTTCTTATCTAGAAAGGTCATCATCCTCAACTCCCTTCTCTTCTTAAACCCCACATCATTTCCTTCATGGACCTTACATTTCCTTCAGAAATATCTCTCCAACCTTTCTAGTACCGCTGTGCCATCGCTGTGTGTGAGTCAGGACCTAACTGTCACTTGAAAAGGCTGCCAACTTGTTCCCTTGCTATCCCATTTCCCACACAAGCTCCTCCTCACTCATTCAATAAATAAAGAAATAGTTCTTGAGCAATTACCAGGTACCAGGTTCTGTCCCAGATCTCAAAGTCTTCAATGTCCATTAGTAGAGATAGAAAAGTAGAAAAAAAAATGCTTACAATTCAATTAGATAAATGCTAGACCAACCAACAGAACAAGGTGCTTTGTACAAAAAAGTGCTCCTTGATACGGGGAAGCAGGAGTCCTGGAAGACCATCCAGAGGTGATGACTCTCTTCAATTGAGTCATGGGGGTGAGGATGGGAACCAGCAAAGGAGAAAGAGAATTTCGGGAAGAGTATGGGACTATTCAAAAGGTGCAAAACAGAGCAAGGGCGCAGCGGTTGGCTCAGTGCCGTTATAGCAATGACATCTGAGGTGGAATGTAGTGGATGAGACTTTAGACAAGGCTGGGATCTGATCAAGAAGGACTTAATATGCCAAGTTAAAAACTTTCCATTTCCTCCTCCAGGGAAGGGGAGCCACTGGATAATTTTAAGCCGATGAGTGATCTGACCTGACGTGCATTTTGGCATCACTTTGGCAGGAGGTGGAGGATGGAGTGGTGGGAGATCAAAGTACAGTACCTAAGAAAATATCAGGAGCTCTCAAGTGAAATGAATGTACAGAGGTAGGTTTGCCACCTATCTGCTTACAAGATGCCGCTTCTTCTGACTCCAGCTCAGTAAAACAGGATGAAGATGATTAGGAAGGAAGAGGGTGGAGGAAGCTGGGTGAAGCTCTTGTGGTGCCACCTTGCATTGCTAGGCACCTGCCAAGTCCCAGGCAGCTAACTGTTCCTTTAATTAAATGTTCTCTGCTATGGTAAGATCTATGAGGAATATGGGAAATCCCAAACAAAATGGTGATGCTTTCCTTTCCCTACAACCTGTTCCCCCCGAGTCCCCCCAAACCCATAGGCTGGTGCTGATTACTTTCTGATAACATCCCAAGAGTTAAAATATTACTTGTCCTTATGTTTGAAAACCCCCTCTCCTGCAACTCATCTTTGTTATGGGTGACCCCAGTTCTAGATTAGTTACTCACTTAGGGATCAACTTATTTTTTAACATAAATTTAAGGTAAATAACAAGTAGGTAATTTTTGACCACAGTCCTCTTGCTCCCTCCTGCTTAGACAGTGATCAGGCATCCAGTGCCGTGCTTATCTCTACTTCTAGTCCAAGTTGGTGTGTTATTGTTTTCTCTTCCCTGCTTGCATAGACGTAACTAGATGGGAGCAAGACATTATACAGTCTTATTTTTTGTCCACTCACTGTCTCCAAATGTGTTCCGTGGAATCTTCTTTTCCGAGTAGGTAATGGGTCCCTTAACAACATCTTGGGCAGATTCCACAACTTTTTGGTATCTTTCTGTTATTAAAAGTCCAGCCCAATTGAGTTAAGATTATACTTTCATATTTGATTCAAAGTCATATAATTTTTTTTTAAACTCCATCAAGGGCCAGGCTGCAGATACAGCAGATCTAAAGAGGGAGGGAGTGTGGTCTGCTCTTTCTAGCCTCTTGCCACTCCTGCTCCTTGGAGCAGAAGTAGGTGGGGCCATGAGCTGGTTTGAGGATACATCCTCCTTATCAAAAGCAAACTCTTCTGATGTTGGATGCTGGGACTGGGAACTTAGCGACTCATGGCAGTGATCTTCTCTGTTGGTTACCACTTCTCCTCCAACACTGACTGGCCTTCAAGGCTTTTATAGGACAAGCCAGTGGGGTTCCAGGTTGAATGGAGCCTCAAGCTGAAATAACTTTGCAGAGCATCTTTAAGGAAAAGGATGCAAAGTTAGATAAGAAAGTAAATACTTATTCAACGTGAGAAAAGAAATCACAACAAATTGTGACAATTAAAATGCTAATGAATACCAAAAACATGATAGATTTCAGAAAAAAACCTAATATTTTTTATTATTAGCTGCTTAACACATTTATAATATTGCTTTTTTTCCTACTTTTTCTTTGGCTTCATATTCTTTTTTTCACTTCTTCACTTAACAACAATTTTGTAATTTCATTTTCTGTAGAAAACAAGTTTGCTCAGTTTTTAAAAATTATTGATGGTTTAGAAAAGCTTTCTTTAGCTTTATAAATTGTTGTTAGTAGTATCAAGTACAATTTTAGGGTTGTTATCTATTTATTCTCCTTCAAATATGAGCTGTAATATTTGGGAGAATAAGTCTACATTTAGCTTCTGGTTCCAAACATTTTAAATTTCATTTCTCTCTCACTGATTATATACTTTCCATGATGTGTGCTTAGGACACATGCGTATCATGACATGACCCCTCACCTTGTGCCTTCTGCCACGACTCCAGATGAGTTGGCACACTGGGTGGTAGGAATATTTCTGGAAGTCTTTCCTACACTAGAGGGCCAGCCATAACCTAACAATGAGCAGAAGTGACTGAGACCCACGTAAATATATCCCACTAACCCCAAACTAATATATTCCCAACTCTATTTCTCCACATCTGCGTTCCAGCACCACCCAACCTGAGAGGAAATGAGAGCAAAGAGAAATCGAAGTAGAAAGAGACAGTGATCTCAAGAAATTTTAGTTACAATATCTTACTTTTGTAAGTTTGGCAAAATAACCTCCCCACCTCCCCCGCCCCAAAACATGAAAAGCCATGGTTATGTCAATACATCGTTCAGCCGCTTCTCAGACTTGGGAAGATTCAGCTTCCTCAGCTTTATGGACAAGGGGCTGCTGGCGATAAGCATCCGGGTACTGCCTCTCTCAAGGGGCCCTGGAGGAGCAAACCAATTGCCAAATTTTACATCCTCAGAAAGCTGATTCCAGCTTGACTCCACCCACTCCTCCGCCCTCCCTCCCTGGTCCTGCCTCCCGTGGGATATGCACCTCACAGTCCCCTACCGCAGTGGTCTCTTCGCCTGCTGGACAGTATTCTCAGGGAGGGCTCCTGCAAGACTAGCGAGACTTCCTCACTGTCCACTCGACCCATGGAAAACTCACCTCATGAAGCTGCAGATGTGCCGGCTGCTACACAGCTGCCCTGCCCCTTCCTCCCGCTTCCCTTCACTGCTCTCTAATTCTATTTTTTTCCATGCTCAAATAGGTACAGGGGGCAGATTAACAAAACCATTACGAAGAAAAGATCCAACCAGCAAAGACAATGCTCATCTCCTCTTCTTGAAGGCACCCCAGGCTTCGCCAGTCATTCACGGTGTATTTCTCTTGTGCTTTGGGTGAGGCGGGAAGAGAAGCACCCATCTCCCTCGAAACTCTACTAGACTGAAAACACACGATGCAGACGGGTCTCTCCTTCCTCTTTCCTCAAGCATCCATTGATGAATGTAAGAGATCAGGGTGACAGTGGGGGACAAGGTGACTGTGGTAGGGCTGGTTCTGAATCTTTTAGTACATCCTTGAGGTGGCGTCTTGTCCCCAGTTGTTGGTGTTTATCTTAGAGCATGTATGTCCTTCATTTGGGAGCCTTGGTTGCCAATTTTGGGGTAATATAAGAAGATAATTTATAAGTAGTAGCCTTGTTTTCAACCCAACTTAGCACATTAATCAGGAATTTATAGACCCATCACTCTCCATAATTTGTTCCACTTTCACATCAAGCTACAGATCTCTCTGCTTTCATCTCCTGTTCTCTCCTTCTCTTTTCTCTACTTCTCTCTCTGTATGTCTCCTTCCTTTAAGTGAGGCCATATTGTATTCCAAGAAGCTCCTCAATGAAAAAAAGGGAACCCTAAATGTCATATGGTTCAGTTGTTTCAAACCAAGCAGTAATAGATTGCTCTCCTATCCACACAAATGTCTCTAAAAGAACCCTTTCTGGACCTATGGCATGCTGAGCAACCTCTTGATTTCAGCCCTCCCGGAGCTGCCTTTAACAAGTAGCCTCTCATTAAATCATTCTCCTTCTGTCTCAAAGCTTTTCTAAATATCCTCATTTTCTTGTTTTATCCTTGGACCCTTTCCTGCCCACTGGCACACAGGGATGCCACTTGCATTCACATTTCTAACTACTCTGCCCCTTTGATTGCTAACAGTGAGGAACTAAGCATTTCTAAGGTGCTTTTACTTTGGATGACTTTTTATTTGTTGGGAGAGGTGGGGCCACATTTTAATAGGTACTAGTCTCTGGAGGGAGAAGATACTTATTCACAAGGAAGTCAGCCTGATTTAGTAAAACCTCATATGTGGCTAAAGCACTTGCTTCAAATCAAAAACCCAAAGGGAACAAATAAAATAAGCCTCTGCAAAAACCCCAAAGCACCCCCCCCCCCACATAGACACCAGGCACATCCTAAAAAGACAACAACAAAAATTCACACTTTGCGTAATGAGACTATAATAATGGGAGTGGTGGATTATTCCAGAAAAATATATATTTTTTGATGTTTAAGAATCTTGTGTGGTGTAGAATCACAAAAGAGCATGGGGAGAAGAGAGAATTCCCCAAAGAAAGTCTATCTTATTGACTGACAGGTGGAATCAATGGCAAATAGATTCTTTAAACTTTTAAAGTTTTCCAGTCAAAGATGAAAATTAAGTACAAACAGTCTAATTTGTACCATTCTTAGATTTTAAGACACAAGGAAAATGACTTAACAAGGAGGAGCTCCCCTGTCAAATATCTTTAATGTGGATTATAATGCTTTTTGGTTTGAAACAAGACTTTTTATTCTGATCTGTCAAGTACCGCAGGCCAGCTAAAGCTATATCAAATACGTGGGCATCTTAAGCAGCTAAAATAATGGAACAACTTGCATTAATCTTCAGTTAAAAGAATAACTGATCAGGCACATCCACTCGTGATCTTTTAGTTAAGGGTGATGTGTAAGCCTTTCCACTATTAAAAATCATTTGTTCCTGTTTCCACTTGATGCTATTCTCAAAGCTCTCAGCTGCACGCTGCCTCTTCAGTCCCACCTGCAAGCCAGTCCTGCTGTTCATCAGCTTTGGTTTTTAACTCATGTTCTCTGAGTACTTAACTTCCCTGCCTACCGTGATACTGTAGAAACACTAATTTTTATAGAACCATCCATCCATTCTTAACATATGAAAATTCTGGGTTTCTAAAGCACATTTAGAATAACTATATTCCTCTAAGGGTACATATAGTCCTACACATATATATTTGAAAAGGAAGACTAGAACTTTCCATAAAACCAGTAGCAGGTCCAAACTGATATCATGTTTAGATCACATTGTCTTGAATATTTTCAACCTTATCCAGTGAATGTTTTGGTTGGGAGTTACCAACCATGAGTTTAACAGATTAGCTCTTTTGCAAAAGATGTAGTAACTTGATCCAGAAAAATATGCCTCACTAAGGGTAGAAGAAGATCCTCCCCAAAGAAACAATATGCTGCTGTCAATATGTGTCCCCTTTCCTCCTCCAGATTATCCCAGGGTAAGATAATTCAGTGGATTTGTAGGTTACCAGGCTCGGGGAATTACATTTGCATTTGAGTTTTAGGTTAGAATTCTCATATAACTGAAACGGGTCAGCATGGCCATTGGACCATATAGCACCTTTGTCTAAATCAGGAAAAAGAATCCTTGTCCTCAAGACATTTTATTTTCATCTGTCAGAAATTGTTATAATAGACTAATCGATTTAGAATGAGACCCTTTACTGCCACCTACTGGAAGAAATAACACATATGCAAATCCATAAATAAATGGTACCCAACCACTTGTGGGGGCTTGGAGGTGCATGCTCTTGGATTTCCTCTTCAAATGACAAGTATTTTGTCACAATTCTAATCGAGAAAATAGTCAGTCTTTTTTTTGTACATAGTTGATAAAAATTTTTTTATTATTGTTCAGTGAGGTGCATAAAATGTGATTTCACAGACAAATGTTTTTGCTGTAGGCAGTACTGCCACAGGTTCATGCTCTACAAAGGGATTCTTATTGATCCTATTTCATTTTATTCCCATCAAAAAAGAAAAAAATGGTGTGAGGCTTTATAATAGTATACGCTTCATTATCAAATAATAAAGAGAACTTCCATTTTGTGTTAGTTTTTATGAGACCTGAAGCCTCTACTTACAGATATACATTTGACGACTGTGAGAAATTTCCGCCATTAGCTTCTGCCTTTGCTTATTTTATACCTTGTTTCTTCTTCACTCCTCACCACTCACTCACTCGCTTCCAGTAGTGGTTGCCAAAGTTCACATTTTGTGTGATATCTAGCCATGCGCTTTCCTGTTACAATGCTCAGTGAACAGGTATGGTGTGTCTTTTATGTGGGTATATATATATATACATAAATTTATACGAATGATTGACAATAAGCCAACTGTACACGCAAGTGACTGAAAACCACATAAATATCTCTAGATATTGCACAAAACATCACCTGGTTCACTACATTCCCTGGATTGGATTCGATGAGCAGAAAGTAGTAAATACGTTAAATGCCTTAATAAAACAGACGCAAGTGAGAGGGCAGAACCCCATAAAAATTCAGGGCCCTCCCCCCTCGGTGAAGTTTCCAGGAGTTTGGTAGTCTGGACCACGCCAAGATGTCCTCTGCAAAGTGAGGAACAGGTTGCTGTACCTTGCACCACCTGTGACGCACAGAAGCCTTCCTGAATTTTGGAGGTACTGTAGAGCGCATTTGAATTTGGTGCTTCAACTCATCTGAAGAGTCATCCACACAGCTGCCAGTTGTGAGCAGCTAGTGAAGAAGAAACCTTGAGCTGTGCTGGTTTAGAGCTCTTAGTCTTCAAGAGGGAAATGCTTCCACCAGGGAACATGGCAGTTCTGCCACTGAACTGGAGGGTGAAACTGACACATGGCCATTTGGGGCTCTTTATGTGCTAAACCAGTAGGCAAACAAAAATGGGTCAATTTTCTGGCTTAAATGATTACACCTGATTACCAAGGACAACTTGGGTTGCTGCTACAGAATGGGGGCAATCTGGAACCCTTGGAAATCTTTAGGGTCCCTTTGGTACTTCTGTGCCCAATAGTAAAGGATAATGGAAGACTACAGTAACCTAAAAACAGGCAGGATAACAAGGACTCAGTCCCTTATGGAATGCAGGTTTGCATGACTCCACCGGGTGAAGAACCCAGAGCAGCTGAGGTTCTGGCTAAGGGCGAGGGAGATGCAGAATGGGTATTGAAGAAAGAAACCAGAGATCGCAACGACAACCTCAGGACCAATCACGGAAACAAGGACAGCAGCAGCTCTCCATGCTTTCTCTTCTTTACATGTGTGTTTCTTTGCATGTACTTACTATTTTCTTCTTTTCTCTCCTTCCCATTTTTACTTCATGCACAAGTTGTTGGATGTCAATTTTATACTTTAGTCTTTAGGCAATAGAAATTGCACCTGGAGTGGGACTGAATAGGAGCAGTAATTAAAAAGGCAGCCATGGATACAGTGACTGTGGGGCTATGATTCTTATTTTGGGGAAGGAGTGGAAACACCTTTACTTATAAGATAGCTCTTGTTGGGTGGAAATAGATAATTGTTTTGATGATGTTCAGGAGTTCAAATATGTGTGCGGAGAAGAGTGCATATAGAAGCTGAATAGTCAAAGGAATTGACTGTGCTAGTTATCAGTTTATTACTTCTCAGCTCCAAATTCATTGTCTGCTCTGTAAAAATGCATCTGGGCCCTTTATTTATATTTTCTTTGCCAGCTGGCCCAATGTTAAGCTTTGTCAGTAGACGGCGCTCGAGAGACACTACAGGAGGAAAGTGTTTTGCTTCCTGGTTCTGGTATGCTCCATGGGCAGCTTCCTAGTGCTCAGCTCCTGCAGGGCAGAGGCCTCTCCACACAGGCTCCTACAGCTCTTGCAGCTTCTCCAGCAATAGGCTGCTGCAGGGCACAGTGACCAGCACACCCAGCAAGTTGGTGGCTTCTCCCAGCGCTCCCCCTGGGTGGTCTCACAGTGGAGTGCTCCCAGCAAGACGCCCTCCCATGAACTGTCTTCCCCAGCACCCTGAGGGTCGATTGCTTGCAACTTCCACCAGCGCTGAAACCTGGTGAGTTTTCTGCCGTTCAGGGAGGCATGACCATGCCCATTCCAGCACAGTCTGGATCTCTCTCGTGGGGCGCTCTGCCTTAGGCACCCTATCTCACCCTAGGGGGTAGTGACTGTCCCTTATATCTGCTATTCCTGTATGTTTTAGAGTTCTCTTTCTTTCCAGCCAATCCCTTTTTACTCCAATCCACTTTTACAGTTAATAATTCATTATATTGTCTTCTCACCTTAAATTACTGTAATTTCATCTCCTGATGTGACCCAGACTGACTCCAAATTAAATGTACCCTCACTTCACCTTGCCCTCAGCTGTGTTAGTATACGGCCCGCAGCCACTCCATGCTAGCACGAAGGAAATAGAGGGAAAGTTGGACTAGAAGAAGACCATAATCTTAACCGCTTGTGGTTAAAATAGCGAACTTTCACAAATTTTACAAAATTCTATCACCATGTGAACACATTTCTCGTTCACCAGCCCAGACCTAGGAAGGGTCCATGCAGTGAGGGGTCCTGAACGTTAAGCTTCACGGTGAATCTAAAGCTGTATATATAATGTCTTCTTTGGTGGATTTTCCCTCAGAAAGCATTTCTAATTTTCCTAATTATTTCATCTCTGCCTCATCCTTACCCCCCATCCTCCTCTTCCTTTTATTGAATTGGGTTTGATCTTTTCTCATATTTTCCAACCAGCTCAAAAGTGGTGTCTTGGCGTAAGAAGTCTAAGGGGTGTCCCTATTACCTGTAACTGGACATGACCTGTCATCACAGAACTCGGTGACATCCTGGGAATCAAGATGGCATTTTAACAAATCCCATTGAAAAGGAAAAGTTGCCTTTCCTGCTGCTACCCCCAGCCCCAGCCCCACCCCCACTCCCATTTCTCATTTTTTCTGGATCTCTTCCAATGAAGAAAACAAGAATATCAGGTTTTCATTTGCAAAGTCTTGATCTTCAATTTGTTTTTCCTCTAAGAAAAGTGTTTTCCTCCTGAGGTTTGTGTGCCTTGGGGAATATTCTTTTTTTTTTTTTATTAATGTTATGATAGATTACAACCTTGTGAGATTTCAGTTGTACATTTTTGTTAGTCATGTTGTGGGTACACCACTTCCCCCTTTGTGCCCTCCCCCCACCCCCCCTTTTCCCTGGTAACCACCGATCAGATCTCCTTATCAATATACTAACTTCCACCTATGAGTGGAGTCATATAGAGTTCGTCTTTCTCTGACTGGCTTATTTTGCTTAACATAATACCCTCGAGGTCCATCCACGTTGCTGTGAATGGGCCAATTTTGTCTTTTTTTATGGCTGAGTAGTATTCCATTGTGTATATATACCACATCTTCTTTATCCAATCATCAGTTTCTGGGCATGTAGGTTGGTTCCACGTCTTGGCTATTGTAAATAATGCAGCGATGAACATAGGGGTGCAAGGGACTCTTGGGATTTCTGATTTCAGGTTCTTAGGATAGATACCCAGTAATGGGATGGCTGGGTCATAGGGTATTTCTATTTTTAACTTTTTGAGAAATCTCCATACTGTTTTCCATAGTGGCTGTACCAGTTTGCATTCCCACCAACAGTGTATGAGGGTTCCTTTTTCTCCACAACCTCTCCAACATTTGTCGCTCTTGGTTTTGGATGTTTTTGCCAATCTAACGGGTGTAAGGTGATATCTTAGTGTAGTTTTGATTTGCATTTCCCTGATGATTAGTGATGATGAACATCTTTTCATGTGTCTATTGGCCATATTCATATCTTCTTTTGAGAAATGTCTGTTCATGTCCTCTGCCCATTTTTTGATCGGGTTGTTTGTTTTTTTGTTGTTAAGCAGTGTGAGTTCTTTGTATATTATGGTGATTAACCCTTTGTCGGATAAGTGGCTTGTAAATATTTTTTCCCAATTAGTGAGCTGTTTTTTTGTTTCAATCCTGTTTTCCCTTGCCTTGAAGAAGCTCTTTAGTCTGATGAAGTCCCATTTGTTTATTCTTTCTATTGTTTCCCTCAACTGAGGAGTTATAGTGTCCGAAAAGATTCTTTTGAAACTGATGTCAAAGAGTGTACTGCCTATATTCTCTTCCAAAAGACTTATTGTCTCAGGCCTAATCTTTAGGTCTTTGATCCATTTTGAGTTTATTTTGGTGTGTGGCGCCTTGGGGAATATTCTTGATAGGAAAGTGTTCTGTCCGCCACTGCATATCAGTTGTCATCACGTCAACAAATCGCTCTTGGATTTGAAAACATACCAGTGAGGTATTCAAAGTTAGATTACCATTAATGGCTGACGTGTTTTCTTGGGTAAATGAAGGAAATGATTATTATTAATTAATAAGTGTTTATATTTGGACATGAATTTATTTAAAATGAATCTTTGCCTAAAAGATTTATTAATCTTAAGAGTAGAGGAGTTTATTAATTAAATATGGAGCTTTTAGTGGGAATCATTAACATCCCTTGTTGAAATTTACAGCTTCTCTCTGTGTTTCCCATTTCTACCTTCTCCCAATGATCCTCACTATTTTTATTCATTCTTTGAACTGAACCATCCAGAACACATTCTCCAACTTGTCATCAGATTGTGGCTGAATTCAGCCATTTTCCCTCTCCAACCACTTGAGCAAGTTCAAACCCTATTCTGACTTACATTTTTTATGCCTAAAGCTGACATCAGCAAACGGAAAAAGAGGTTTCTTTGGGTAATGTTTAGTAGTTACTGAAAATCCATAGGTGTCGACAATAGTGTTTATGAAAAGTACCCTCTTAATTATATAGTCACATAATGATTGAATACCGTGCAAACATGCCAATCCAGTAAAATGTAAAGTTCTGGGTTTTGTTGGACAAATTTTAAAATATTTTGAGTGTTTACTTTTAAGGGAGGTACAGACTCTGTTGTCTAATTCTTTTGTGTATTATAAGCCATAGATATTTAGATGACAACACAAAAGTGAGCATTTTGAACATGGATTTGTGCCTAGTTTAGTTGCTTAAATGTTTTCCCAGCCTTTATTCCCAATCTAATTTCAAGAGGCTTTGCTGTCAAAACTTTCAGAGGCTGAGGACAGATCAGTGTTGGAAAACAAGAAATGCCACCTCCTTATATGATGACGCCATGTCAGACACATGGGACAAGAACTGAACAGAAGGGAAAATGATTTATTTTATTACATAATGTTTAGGGTCTGGTTCTTGTTACCTCGCAGTTTAGAAAGGACTGCATTGATTTGACCGAAGTAAATACATCAATGAAAACTTGAGAAGGAGCTGAAGGGGATGGATACGGCTTAATTAGGACTGTGTGGATGGTTCAAACTCTGAATAATTCCACACCGTAATACCAGTTACCTAGAAATGATAACCACTTCCTGTATGCATGGAAAGGACCATAAGATTTGCTGCCTTAAAGAAGATAATCTATGTTTTTAATTTTTACAAATCATTTAAGTATTGTACTATAAGTATATTTTTTACATAAATAACCACAAAAATGTTGAATTGGAGTAGAAGAGTTAAGTATTAAATAAAGAAAATGTTTTCACAAGTAAGTTACATCCTAATTTACTTGGAGGGGTCAAGAAATTCTTTTTCTTTGCATATCTTGCAGAGTTGTTGGGAGGATTAGGAAAAATGTGCAAAGCACACAGTCCCAGCTCAATAGATTCATTGCTGATATGGTATTAAAGAGAGAATGGAAGTCGTAGAAAGAAGAAAAGTTGGAGTGATATTAGAAGGAATGAAATAATTCTTCTTGAAATAATTAAAGAATATGTAATATTCTTGTATAGGCAATAGGCAGTCAATTTATGAGCACATTAGGAAAAGTTCTGATGTGCCAGGAGAAAGTAAAAGCCTACTTTTGTTTATCCTAAGGAAGAAATGCTCTGTCCATAGGAATAAATTGGATTCTTGCAACCATTGAAGGTGAGCTCCTCAATGACATTAGATGGCATCGTGCCCCACCTCAGCATCCCTGCTAAGGGGAAGGCCTGCCTGCTATGGTCCAACCAGGCAAAGGGATTGCACTTCTCCAGAGGGAAATTCAGTCTGCACTTGGATGTTTCTGAGAAGGCTGCGGGGCTCCTAGTGGTCTTTAATGGGATTTTTGTGCTCATGCTCTGGTGGACCAAAATATTGTTTCTTTCCCAAATCCTCCATCTCAGAGTCAGATGTCAAATCTGTGGGCACATTTTCCCCTACAGGATGGAGAAGAGGAAGAGGCAAGAAAATCAAGGACGCGGTTACCAGTTTTCTTTCTTCTCATCCAAACGTCAGGTTCATGCTGGTGGTACCTGGAAGCACCGGGAGGAAGAAAGATGGGAAGTGTGCAGGCGGTCTGGGAGTGCATGCTCCACTTCTCTGTGATGGATGCAGCATGATGTGAGGGGAAGACCAGAACGTTTGGAGCAGGTCGGAGCTGAGTTCGAATCTTGTCACAGCCACATAATAACTATAACTTGGCCAAGTTACTTGGTATCTCCAGCTTTTATTTCAGTTGCATAACAGAGGTAATAATACCTTCCTTAGAACATGATCATGTGTAAAACAGAGATATTGTTGAAGTGCCAAGTACCAAAGTGTGTTCTGGAGATCACTTACCTCCAGGAGACGTAAATCTGTGCTCTCAGAACTAAAGTCCCCATGGTCAAATAAATGTGGGAAAAACCACTTTATTAAATTCCCTTCTTGGAAGTTCGCAACACACACACTGACAAGTGCATTAATAGCTCTGAGAAATTCTGCAGCAAAAAAGGAAACCTGGTTAACAGTTAAACATACCAACTTATTTGTTTGGGGCTTTTTTTTTTTCTCGGATCATCTCACTACATCCCATAGAACATTTTTACCTTATCATCGTTTGCCTTGGGCTGATACGGCACATGGAGCATGAGAGGTTTGTCAATAGCTGTTATCCGTGGATTTCTAAGAGAGCAACTTGAGGGTACCTAAGGATGGAAGCGTTGTCTTTAGTACAATGTAGAGCTAATAATTAAGATGGAAAGTTCCTGCAGGGAACAAGGCTAACGTAATTAGGTCATAGTTAATCTATGTGGCTATTTTCTTCTTGTCTCTTTATAGTGAAGTACGTCAATACTGGAAGTGCAAAAATTTGAATATATATTTTGGAATCACATAAATGATCTTTGACAAATTAAACAGACCCACATTCCTCTTAAGTTAAAGATAATATACTGTATTGTCTCAGTTTGTTTTGATTAATTTTAAAATAAGCCAGTTTAAGAACTCATTTGAAGCTTACCATTAATCAGTTCCCCTAGTTCTTCAGTGATGAGATTTCCTTCCTGTATTTAGGAGAATAATTATCTGTTTTCTAATTAAGAACGGGAGCTCTGAAGCCAGATGGCCTGGGTGGACTCTCAGTTCCACAGTTTATCAGCCACGTGACCTTGGGCGAGCTATCTCATCTCTCCGACTTGAGTGTTTGTATCTGAGTAGTACCCACTCCAAAAACTTGCAAGAATTAATAAATTAACCCATGGAAGGAACTTGTTTCAGCACATAGTAAGCAGGCCATACATTTTAGTTTTTATTATCTATAGTTGAAATATTTCTATTTAGACATGCAACTAAAAATATTTATTTATCAAAAAACTAATCTACTCTGGGCTGAGCGTGGTTCTAAGTGCTTTACAAATCTAATCCTCATTCTTATCCCATGAGGTAGATACCCTCATTTTCTCCATTTTATGAATTGTGGAACCGACCCACAGAGAGGTTAAGTGACTTGCCACAAGTGACACATCCATGAGGGCAGAGCTGGGACCCGACCCCACACAGCTGAGACTCTGCTCCTCCTCGTGTGAAATGAGGTGATGGACAAGGAGCAGGAGACAGGCAGTGACTCCTCAATTTTCCAGCATAAAAGGGATATTTTCATCCCCTTCTCTTGGCTCAGGGCTTGAAATACAAATAATTTTCTATCTTGTGTCACGAAATCAGTGAGTGAATTTTCACTCCTATTGATGTTGCATGTGTAAGGGATTTACCATGATAGATCTCTGGTTTTGTAAAGCTTTAGGTTCAAGCCATCTTATTGTTTTCACTGTGACATTCCGGAGGTAAGTTGAACTTTCTCTCTCCTCATCCTCCTCCTTAGTGACATGAATTCCTGGCGTACTCTGTTCCTGTCATCATTGTCTACTGTCCATACAAAACTTACTGCACATTTCAAGTTTTTCATTTTTCTTGTCTTTGACGTGCATCTTTGATGGTAGTACATAAAATTGTGGGCATGCACACATACTGTCCTCTCTCTCATGGAAAAATGCCAGATACTTTATTCCAAAAAAGAGGTTTTTTGGAGATGTCTGAGTTGTTCTAATCTCATAGAGACTTTTTAAAAAGGCTGGTTTCAGTAGCCAGCCTGGTGGTGTAGTGGTTAGGTTTTCACGTTTTGCTTTGGCAGCCCAGGGGTCATGCATTAAAATTCTGGGTGCAGATGTGGGCACCACTCATCAGCCATGCTGTGGTGGTGTCCCACATACAAAAAAGAGGAAGATTGGCACGGATGTTAGCTTAGGGCCAATCTTCCTCTCCACACACAAAAAAGGGCAGATTTCAGAAGCACATCTTAGGCTGAGGAGGTGTCCGTTTTGTAATCAGATAGACCTGAGGTAAGGGCAAGCCTCTTTATTTCTCTTTGGAGCTGTGAGATTTTGGCCAAACTATTAACTTTTTTAAACTTCTATTTCCTTCCAGAGTTGTAGACTCAATAAGACGACGCATGAAAAACGCTTAGCTTGTGCCAGACACATAGTAACTGTCCCCAAAACATTGGCAATTCTGTTATTTTAATAATAATGCAAATAATGTTCTTTTGTATGTAAGGCCTGTTCAGATAATTTCACTTGAGTACTGCGTAGAACACTTGGGTGATAGTAACAGTATTTTTTCCTTTAACCAAGATTTTTAGTGATTTTTGTTTTGTTTTGCTTTTGAAAAGGTGCTAATTCTCTTTCCCACCTCTAAGTTGTTTCTATAATACCCCAGATAAATCAGACCTAGCCAGAACCTCTTAATCAGAACATTTACGGAGCATGACCCTCCTTGTTCTCAGAGAAGTCATTTGTTCTTCCAAGTCCTTGCTGTATAATTTATTTGTATACAGAGGCTTTGGAAAATTGAACACACAAATGTTTCACTTTTATGTTATATAGCCATGGTCAAATATAAACTCATCATGGGGGGGGGGGGGGGGGGTGCACGTGCATGCGCACACACGTGTTTCTAGCTCTCTTCTGCTCAAAATCATGAGGCTGAAATTTTAAAATAATGCCTGTCAATTTAATCTTTACATAGTGCCCCCTACAGGAATAACAGGACTCTTAGTGAGCTGAGCGATCACCAGGCACTGTGCCAGCTGCTTTTCCTAAATTACCTTGATTCGCGCATCTTATTTCCCCAATCTGACAAATGAGAAAACGGCAGTTCAGAGAGTTTAAAGGACTTGAGCAAGTCTTTAGAACTTACAAGCACCAGAACCAGAATCTACATCCCGATTCTTACGTCCACAGCCTGTGCTGTGACCACTTCCGCTTCTGTGCAGCATCTCCGCCCATTCGGAACGGGCATTGCGCGCACGCTCCGAGACGGCTCTGCTCTGTGGTACCAGAGGGTTTCCATTTTTCCTTATTAAAAGTTTGCTGGTAATATTTAATATGTTTGTCTTTTAATATCACGTGGTAATAAAAGTTAAGGCTGTTTTAAAGCCTAAATCAATGAGTGATAAATATGGTGCAATAAAAGATAGATGTAACTGATAAAATAAGAGGAAAAGTGATTACAGTGAAGCGGCAGCACTCATAAAGTCTTTCAATAAGTAAATCATTCAAATAGCAGCAGACTTTGCTCTCTGCATTAATGCCGTATACGGGAATACTTGTGCCCCGTTCTTGGCCATTATGTTTTCCCTAAATTAATTCCTAGAGAAATTATAGGCAAATAGCACCCTCCCTGCAGCGCTTTTTTTTTTATGCTGTAAGATAAGGATTAAGAAACCCTGTGGCCCAGTAAGAAACCTATTTTGTAGTCTCTTTGTACTGATAAAATTTCTTCTGGCACTGAACGCCCACTGTCAAAAATACTATAACATTTTACTAGTTTGCAAAAGATGAAAATGTTACCAGATGTTAAATTCAGGGAGCAAGTTAACAACTTCTGTTTTCAAATGGGTAGATTTCCATCTTAAAAAGAAATAAAAAGACTCCGTTTGCCAGGCACAGTAGAAAAAAAAGGCGAGTCATTTCTGACTTGAATTTTATAATTATTTAGTCTCCCAGGATTGAGCTTTTGAATAATGGGATATGTGCTAATTAGCTTAATTCCCAATAGGCTTTCTAAATGCCTTCTTTTGAACCCAAAAGGCTTGGGTTTCCAGAACAAAGTAATTAAATAACTTCCACCCAGTGACATTATGGCCACAGATGGGACATGCCTTAATGCAGGAAATCTTACTATTGTTCGTTTGTTACATATCTTTGGCTCTCCCGTGACGATGTCTCTCCCATCGCGGCCTGGCTACTTAGCATAAAAGGTTTATTAAAAGGAAAGCATCTCAGAGGTCATTTCCTCACCTGACTCGTTAATCAGGGCTGGCATTTTCACCTAGTCCTGCCATGCTCCACCTGAGTAGGACTAGTATATCGCAGCCACACAGAAAATGTAAGAGAAGAATAGGAAAACGAATACGTTCATCAAGTGAGTGTGGGCCTATGTTTTTATTTGTCTTTTGATGGATTGCACAGGATTCTTGGGGAAACACACGTCGCATTTTTCATCTGTATCCCAGAAGGATCTTTCAATGCTTCACCTTAGGTTCTTCAAAGAATAATTCTTCGGTTCAGTAATAGCCATAGAAACCTTCTCCTCTGATATCCAAGGGTAGTGAGGAACTCTTCTTTTGATTAAGAAATGCTCAGGCGATTAAAGACTGTTACAATAGATGAAATAGGGAGAGCATGTCAATCGCTTCATATGAAGTCAGGCCTATATTATAGACAAAATTGAGTTAGGTGTAAAAGAATATTTGACTCCACATATTAAAACATGCAGAGTGTTCTTTACTCACTTTGTGTAATTTTTCCTCTCCGTTCTTCCTGTGATATGCTAATAATTTCAATCCATATTTGAAACATTGTTGGTGGAGACAGTATCAAAATGATCAGAGATGAGCTCCATATTGAAACATCAAGTTGGTAATGTGAGAGTTGTTGCTTGAATACACGATGGGTGGTTTTGTTGTAAATCCTGAGAACTTTGGTGTCAGGGATTTATTTTTCTGATGGTGTCTGTTAGAATGTCTGCAGTTTTTTGAGTACTTGTATCTTATCATATGAAACGGGACAGTGAAGATGTGGTACTGAAGGCATTATCATACTCCATGTGGGGATGCAAATAAAGAATCATTAATCTGCTATTACTCTTTCAGGATGCTTTAAAATTAAGATAGAATAATATTTCAGTTAAAGGTACTACCTTAAAAATGAATCATGCAGGTGCAACTTCACTGGAAATAAACATAAGCACATGTGAAAAATGCCCTTCAGCCAGGAAGTAATTTGTCGATTTTTCAATCTATATTGCAATGGAGTTAAAGCTGCATTTATACCACACTATTCATTCAATAACTTTCTAGTGAAGTTTGGGGTCTATATGAGGGATCCTATTGCTGACCCGTGCGCGTCTCTCCTGAACTCTAGACCCACTCCTACTACCGTCTCTCAATTTTCTCCTCTCTCCCACCATCCCTCCGTTCTTTCTTCTCTAACTAGAACTGAGCACTTACTCCCTACCAAGCATTATGTCATGGGCTGTGTGGCATCCTTGGAATTTAAAACCTAAAGGGGAGACATATTAAACATATAATTTCATAAACACATGTACCGTTACAAAAGGGTTAGTGACACACTTAGATTTTCTCACAGAAACTTGATCCTTGTGTTATCTTTCTTCTCTCCATTATGGGTACCACCATCCTGGGAATCACATACACGTGAAATCCAGGACTTCTAGACTCTTTCCTCTCTCCTTAACATCCAACCTCTCAACTGATCAGGTCAATTACACCTCCTTAACACGAGTTGGACGGGTTGCTCCTGTTAGTTTCCCCTGTTCCTGCCTATAGCATGTCATTATTTCTCTCACCTGGATTTCGATAATCATAAAACTAGTCTCTTTTCCTTCAGTGCATCTCCCCTCCAATACAGCCTTCATATTCCTTTTCCACTACCAAATATGTATTGAGTGCCTATTTGTGCCAGACATTGTGCTAAAATTCTCTTCTTAGCACATTTATCGGATAACATCTCCCCTATTCCCAAATTTATAAACTTCTGATGGGTTATCATAGCCTCTGGGGAAAATGTCTGACTCCTGGGCATGGTATCTATAGTCTTTCAGACTAAGCTCCAGTATTTCCTTTATTCTTCTTTTTCTTTCTTTGTTTCCCTCCCTCCCTCCCTTCCTCCCTTACTTCCTTTCCTCCTTTCTTTCTTTTTTGCCTCTCTCTCACTAATCTTCACCAGTATCCTTTACCTTACCCAAACTTTTCATTACTCTGGGTCTTTTCAAGTATCTGTTTCTGTGCTTCTCATCTAATCTCCAATTGACGAGTTTTTACTTATCCTTCAAAACCCGATTTTAATTCTTCTGTCCTCGTTGAAGTGTGTGCTGACTTTCCCCCTTGTTTATGCATCTGTTTTGCACTATCACATTGTATTTATATGTACATCGCTTGCATTAGACACCAAACTCTTTAGGGTCTGAGACTGTGTCCCATTTATTTTTGTGTCCCAATGTCTGTCTCCTCATGCACATGCTAGATGCCCAATAAATACCAAACATACCGCTCAGTGACTTAAGGAATTGGCATTCAGTTTGTTTTCATTTATCAAACAATCAGTTGTTACATGTTTGGCATAGTCACTACTTAACTGGTAAAGGGGATTATTTTATTACTAATATTTAAATAAGCATCCTATGAAAGTGGAAATGTCTAACCAGTGTCACACATAAACCCTGAGACTATGGAGGTTTGTCTGGGGAGGCATTCCTGTCCTAGCCTGTCCTGCTTGGAAGGGACAAAGGAGCTAGCAAGTATCCGATGTATCTGGGAGAGAGAAGATGAAAGCAGACTAAGAAGAGGTAGTTTTACTTGCACAGCTAAGTGGGGAGAAGATGATCTCTGGGTACACAAATCTTAGAATCCGTATTTTCTTCCCATGATGAGTGCCTTCCCAAACTTGCCTGTCTTCTCCTTCGAAATTTGGCACAGTGAGCTTAATTATTCTACTACAGTTTACAGATTAAGTTGTCTTGTTGTGCACAATTTTCCGCCATGATGCTCTCTATTAAAACACTTACTTTGTGCTGTATTATTTGGTACTTACAGCTGTGCCACCCTGATATTGTTTTCCTGATATAGTTGTGTGTGTGAGTACTGTGTGCACGCTTGTGCTTGTAAATAGGGGAACAGAGATGCATGGTGCCCTGTCCTGTCAGTGACACAGCAGAGATTTACTGCTTGTAGAAGCGGAAGGTTCATCTTCCTGCTTCCTGAAGATTAGCCACGCACTTGATGATGCATTTTCGTTGGTCTGTCTGAAGAGTCTCGCTAGTCTTTTCATTTGGCAGTTGAACATCACAGTTGTTTATTGTCTCTTGCAATGAAAAGCATAGTTAGATTTCATTAAATAATAAGTGTAGGAAATGCAGGATTATGTTATTATTGCTCAGACCTGTCACTGCTTAGCCTGGTTGGCACATCGTGTCTATCTTGTTCTCCCAAAGCAAGGTGATTGACAACAATGAGGATAAGTCTGTGGCTGAAGCATCAACACTCAGACCAGGAGCAATTTCTCTGTCCTATAGGATTGCTCTCTAAGGTCAATATTGCATCTGAAGGCAGCTTCACTTTGAATATGACAGAGAGGTTACGTAGAAGACCACAGGGGATCCACTGGTTCCTGGAATAAGTAATAAGAACTGAAACAGTAATCTTTTCCTCAAGTGCAAATTTGACAACTGAGCTATGTCTGACTAATATTGAACATCCATATCGACCTGTTGAGGTCGATAGTTGGGCTTAGTTATGCTCTGTATTGACTGCTTACATTTTCTAAATGAGAAAGAAATGGCCAAATGGGAAAATTCAATTGCACCTGGAGAAAGGTTGGTTTCTTTCCCATTTTTTTTTTTTTGAAGAGTGGTTTGATTTTATATGGTACATGAAGGCTAGTTTTTGAAAATTTGGTCTTCGGTTTATTTTGCTTGCATGAATTAATCCTATAGAGATCAATGTATTTGTAGGGGAATTAGGGTGCAACAGTGATTTTCATAGAACTGTAAATCTTGGTCTAAGTTGTTTTTATAAACCAAGAGATCATGCAGCGTAATGAAAAGAGCCTTTGGCTTTGGATCCATAGAGATTTGAGGCTGAGCTTTGGCTCCGTTTATGCTAGAAGACGTCCTTGGACAAGTGCCTTAAGCTATTTGGTTCTCATTTTCTTAATTAATAATAATATAGCAGAAATCTTCTGATCTAATCCAATTAGGACTGGTTGTTGATTAATGAAAAAAATGGTTTAAGTTAAAATGACATCTGTACAATGCAAAATTTTAATTTTACTTAAAATGTCTAAAAGTCCGTTCATCCAACAATCTTTTGATGCCAGACCAATGTCAAGTCTTTGATTAGGTTTTACCGACTAGCGTGAAATATCTTACCTAAGTTTTATCTATAATGTATTGTATAGACTTCTCGTTTTTATTTATGTAAGGTGGGAATAATAAAG